GGGGCAGTGATTTGGTTTAAGGATTTAAGGATCAGGGAGGTGGTAGAAGAGACCTGAATTAGAGCAGAAAGCTTTTGTAAGACTTCAAAAGTATCCCGAAGACTTATCACAAAACATGGTGATTTGCAAAATCTGGGGTTTGTGTGGCTAAAATGTGATACACACAGTTTGATGTTAAGGAGTTGACGTTAAGGGTTTGAATACATGTCGACAGAACAGAATTGAAGGTCAGAAGCCTATTGTTTACACATACAGTACCATATTTAGTGCAACAGAATAATCTGCAGTGGTGAGCAATTAAGGAGCCACCATTTTTATTTCTTGTTGTGCACCAAGTCATTCAACTGGCACACAGAAAAAAAACAAAAACCAACCAACCAACCAACCAAACAAACAAACAGTAATTCCTTAACCAGTACAATTCACTACTTTGTTTTATGCTGTTGCACTTACACCAGCACGTACAAGCAATAGAATTCTGGCTAGAGTGTTCTCTTTAATAGCGGCTAGATTGATTGTATTTATATTGAAAAAGCATTCCAAACTCTGCTGAGTTTAAATATTGACACATCCTAATTCTAAATAACTATCCACTGTTTGTACCTTGTTTTGCTATTTACAATGGTATTTTCTGTATTTTCTTCTCATTTGGAAATCAAGGGGCTGTAAAGTATGTATAGTGGCATTTTGCTGAAGTACAATAAAGTGCCATGCACCTAGTAGGTGATATTGCTGAAAATTAATTCAGTCCAAATCCAGAACAGCCAAAGTGAAATGGATAAACAACAAAGTGAAGCCATTGTAGCAGTTCTCAAAGAGGAAGCCTATTAGTCTATTTCAAGATAGGTAACAAGAGCAAAAAAAGAGCTAAACAATTATCCATTTAAGCATGGCAGAGCAAACTGTATCTTTGAGACATTTTATGGTTTTCCCCTTTCTGTTGTTATCTTCAACCAGTATAGCATGAAATAATTGGATGACAAATAAGACATGATAAATATCAATCCTTTACATAGGTTACATGAAATATTGATGGCAGAGCAGACAGTCACTTGAGGAAAACAAAGCAGATCAAACACAGAGAGGAATGTATTTTTACGAGACAGCAAGATGTAAGAAAAAAAATATAAATCTAAAGGAACTTGTTGGCTATTATAGATCTCTTTGGTTATCATAGGCATCAAGGTTTTTGTTTTGTGCTATAAAAGCTCTAGAAACATAATCATAAACAAATTGTTAGTGTGTTCTATTTACTGTTTATCACAAAATTTCACAAATACAGAATGTCCCACTGAACTACAAGTAGACCAAACGTTTCAGAGAGAACTGGAGCTAAATGTGATGGTGCCATATATGTGCCTTTTCAGTCAGGATTCTGTTTAGTCGTGTATAAAGCAGAGTGTGTTGATTTGTCTGATTTAAAGGCAAAAGAAATATGAGGGCAAATTCTAAATCCTGTCCCTACCCACAGCTTACCACCCCACTCATGCATACAGCTATTTTTCTCCCAAGTAGTTTAACTTTCAACATTTGTAGTGTGCTTTCAACTTGCATCCAACCTACTGTAATAGAATATTCAAGGCATGTGAGATGTTTAAGGATTCATTTTACCAATTCCACCTCTCCAGTGAGTTTCCACACCTGAGCAAGGATTTGAATGCCGATGTCCCAAGCCCTAATCCATCACTCTGTCCACTATATTACACTACCTCCCTTATGGAGAACACCAACGTGTATTTTAGTATCTCAGTCATTAGGGCAGGTGATGTGAAGGGCTCAGACTAGGTAGTGGGCCAAAATGCCTTCAAATGAACTTGGAAATATTTTGTTAAAAGAGAATTCATTATCCCACTTAATTATTTTTTTTAAATCTTGCATCAAGACCCAACAGTATACTTTGATGTTCAAGGCCCACAAAATAGGGACTTTCTTCCCCTCTCCTTCTCCCATCTATTAAAGTGCTGCATAGTGTCAAAAAGATACCCCACAGGGTTTTTCGGCCTCCCTGGAGGTTTTTAAGGTACACAGGCAACTGCAGAAGGAACAGATAGTTTTCAGTCTTGGTGGAGACTGTGGGATTCAGGTTTACCATTATAATAATAAAAACGACAGCAATGTTAACAGGTTGAGTTTTCATCTTATTTCAATTTCATTCTTCATTTGGGGTAGTGGGTAGTGGGTAGCACATCTAGAATTGTTTTAAATTCAAAACTCAAGTGTCACATCAAATAACAGTTAAAACAATGAATTACCTTTAAAATTTTGAACACACAAAGACAAACATGGATTCTTATTGGTAAATTACATTCCAAATTAATATAAGTTAGTGTAAATGCTACTGTTTGTGAGTTTTGCCCTGGACAATAATCTCACCAAAAGCTTGCAGACTGTTGGCCCTAAAGCTGAACACAGTTGTCCTTCTCAGTGACTGTTTATCGAAAGTGAAGAAAAAACAGCAACTCTGGGTGTTTTGTGCTAGCCAGTGGCAACAGATGGGTTTTCTGGGGTCACTGGACTTCTCAGAACTGAAGAATTGTGGACTCTTTGACAAATGTCCCAGGTGTTGCTGCCTTCAGTTTTCTTTCTGACTAGTTTTCTGACTAGTTTCTTTCAGTTTTCTTTCTGACATGGGGGGGGAGAGTAGGCGTGAGGGAAGTCCTCTTAGATTTCTGTGACTCTTCACAATGACAGGTATTGAACACACATCCCAAGTTGTCAAATTAAACTGAAATACTCAGTTTTGTTGGTCAAACAGTTTTGCCTGGTCTCAGATGTACAGTAGACTCTCTTCTTAAGGAATCAATCTATGAAAGGTTTTCCTGAAAACCTCCTACTTGTCTACGATAATGGGGAACATGAGACATTGTTGTAAGAACACTAGCAATATGAACGACTTCCACAGCTAGCAGTTTGGCTTGCACTTGTATGGTTGGTAATACCATCAGTCCTTGTCTTTGGGTCAAGCCAGATGCCCTGCATTTTTCCCCTCCTGTGGCTTTTCCCGCTCCGAAATACATGCCAGCCAGGCTCCCACATTTTGCCTGTGTTTACGTCCCAGTGACTAAACACAAAACAAAGCATGGTGGAATGCAAGCTACAAAGATGAGGAAAATAACAAGCTGTAAGAAATAGGATCCTTTTCCACTTCAAGAAATAGCACTTCAGGCAGCTAGATGCATTAAGCAGCAAAAAAAAGGGGGGGAATCTGATTTCTATGTATGGCATAAGCTCCATTCACCTTAAAAGAAGCTTCAGGCTCTTCCTCTGATTTGTCTCTGAAAAGTGTGACTGAAACTTCAAATTATAAAATCATTTGTTAGCGGATCAATTTGGGATGCATTTCGAAGCGGTCGGCCCCTTTGCATGCTTGATCACAGATGGATGTGGGGATGTAATTTCATCCCAGTTAACTCTTGTCCTGAGGATCATGCCTTTTTTTTCCTTCAGAAGAATTCATAAACATATTTCTAATTACAGGCATCTTGAAGAGCACGTGCTACATTGATGTCCGCTGGTTTCCTTTTGATGTGCAGAAATGCGATTTGAAATTTGGTTCGTGGACGCACAATGGCTGGCTGCTTGATCTGCAGATGCTGGAAGCTGATATTTCCAATTACATATCAAATGGCGAATGGGATTTAGTGGGTAAGTAGAATTGCTTAAGAATTTTAATGACTCTAAGCCAGTGTTTCCTCAAGTCTTGTTGGCTGAAGAACTCTTTTCTTTTTTTCCTGGCTTTTGGTTTCAAGCTCATTTCACTCTGAGTATTAGCCTCCACAGGCTGAACCAGGCTCGTGCAGCAGCATGACCTGTCCTAAGGAGGTGATTTTAGCCCCACAGCATCACTTTGTGGGATGCTGTCCTGGTCATGATTTTGAATGGATTTCTATTCAGACTTTTAAAAAATCAGGTTCAAGTCATGCTGTATTTAAACCAGTTGCCGTATGCACAGGCACTGAAGGCATCTACACTGCTGAAATCAACTCATTTTCACAAAACCACACTGAACTGAATCAATTTTAGAAGCAATGTTTTTTTTAAAAAAAAATCCTCCTGCTGGCCAGTTGGAAAAAAAAACTCACTTTGTAGCCCATATAAATCAATTTCACCCTTGCATTTTGTGAACAATAAAATCTAACTTACTTCGCCATCCTCTAGTGTATTAATATTGGTGTTTTATTTTATTTAAATATTGTTGTTAGGCGCCCAGAGTAGACTTTGGTCTAAATGGGCAGGATAAAAATTAAACAAACAAACAAACAAACAAACAAACAAACTACTACTACTACTACTACTACTACTACTACTAATAGTAATATAATAACAACAATAACAATAATAACAACAACAACAATAATAATAATCATAATAATCATAATAATCATAATAATCATAATCATCATAATCATCATAATAGATTTAAATGGTGCTTAAATGTGGTTCTTTTTGCCAATGTGACCACAGCCTTAGTTTGCATTGCAGGTGCAACCCCTTGCATTCATTTCTCTATGGTATGCTGCCTTGAGTCCTTTTTAAGGAGGAAGGAGGGACAAAAACATTTTAAATAAATAATATAATACGTGCGAATACCATCCACTGCAGCTCAGTCTGAACTCCTTGTCATATGAATCACAACCAGAGACCACTTTGAGTCAGTGTGTAGCCGTTTGTTTCAATTTATTTCTGAATATTTTAAAGTACTTATATCTATTTGTATTTGTCCAAATAGTGAAAAGGCATGATAACGAGGAAAATAAATGCCCCTGACTCATGATGGCAGGTGAAACTCTGTGCCATAAAATGTGGCTCACCCTCCAGTATGTGGATAAAGCTCCCAGCAGCTTCTTCCCTCCCCTTTTTTTCTTTCTTGCACCCTTTAAGCTATGCAGTTAACTTTTTGCCCAGCTTCCATCCTTCCACAAATACATCCTGGATTAGTCAGGCTCCATTGGCCAGCTGTCCATCATCCCTGGATTCTCTGAAATGAAGGCTGATGTTCTGTGTTTTTAAGCTCCAAAGCACCAAAACAAAAGAAAAAGATGATTCAGAAGGTGCAAATCTGATCTGAGTGTTGCCACAGGGTCCCTTGCTTTGCTGGACGAATACCCCACTACATTCATTTTCTACGTAAATTCTCAAAAAAAATATAAAATAAAATAAAATCCAAAGGAAGCCATTGCATAATGCAAATGTAGAAGAATATGTCATCTTTATTAGACAACTAACAACCAAACAATTGATTCAAGTTCTTATGGAATTAAAATCAGTTAAGACAGTTAAAGCACAACATTATAGAAAGACACCATTATGGGTAGCTCTATTAGAAACGTTCTCTGATCCGGCAAGAACAACTCAAAGGACAAATGGTAGATATGCTGAGATATTACATATTTATTTTAATTTAAAGAACAAAGATGTATTGGCAGAACAAGGTATTATCTTAGATTGGTGGTTGATAAACTTGTTAAAATCAAGATATATAAAAGATAAAGCTACAGGGTTTCAGAAAGACAAAATACGTTTGGATAGGGAGTTGCTGGACTCAAAGGAACAACTGATTAAAGGTTTGTATAATACTTTGATGGAACAAAAAATGGAAGATGGAATTGTGAAGGATTGTATGGTAAAATGGGGTCAAAATGTAGGTCATAATATTGAACAAAGTGCCTGGTCACAAATCTGGGAATGAAATATTAAAATGACTAAATCTATAAATCTAAAAGAAAATATATACAAAATGTTTTACAGAGGGTACGTAACACCAGAGAAATTAACAAAACTGTATAAAAATGTTTCTAGTAAGTGTTGGAAATGTGAAAATAAAGTAGGGGGCTTCTATCATATGTGGTGGATGTGCAGTAGGGCCAAGGACTTTTGGAAAATGATTCATGAAATGATAAGGGAATAATTTAGGGGTTAAAATTGCTTTGACACCAGAAATTTTCTTACTGAATATATTACTAGCTACATTTAAAAAAACCCAAGACTTACTTGACCTTACACCTAATAACTGCAGCTAGAATTATATATGACAGTAAGTGGAAAACTACAAAGGTGCCGACAAAGAAGGAATTTATTGAGAAGATCTTGGAATTAGCAGAAATGGATATTTTGACAGATACACTAAATGATAGACTGGACAATAATAATAAATGGGAACCTCTTTGTACCTGGATGAAATCTACACTGATTTAAGTAGAATAGATTAGATTTATATTATGCTCAAGAGTATATGAGACAAGATGAAATGAACTGAATATATTGTAATAAATCACTCTGGTTGCAATAGATAGAAAAGTAGAAAAAATACAATAGAAATATTTATAAGCAAACAAGCAAACAAAAAAAAACAAATAAAATCCCTTCATTAGGCACACACCAGTCACTTTTGAGTATTTATAAGCAAACAAGCAAACGAACAAACAAACAAATAAAATCCTTTCATTAGGCACACACCAGTCACTTTTGAGTAGTGCCAAAAAATATATAAATGAATGTTTGAGAAATTAAGGGCAAAAGTTGCCAGGCATCGTCCTCTTAAGGTGAGTTTAAAGTTGGTTACAAGTAAAGTTTGGCAAGTCAGTTTTGTATCCAGGGCATATCTCTAGTGTGAATCTGTTGCTTCTAGGTCCAGCTTCAATTGGGGCAGCCTAAGATCCATGCAGCTGGTTCTAATGGAGGTGAACAAGCTTTCAGATTTTGAGGTTTCGAGTTTTACAGTCCTCTTCATTAGGATGGATGTTAAGCAAAGTTGAGGGAATCAGAGAAAAGCTGTCTTGATATAGGCACAAACTCTAAATTTTTTGGCGAAAGCATCAAGCTAGCTTTTTTAAAAAAAAGCTCTCCTGTCCCTCCCACTACCTCTACCTTACTTTATGTTTAGCCTGAAAATGAGTTCAAGAGAATGCAATAGTCTGATCACTATTTTTGTGATTGGAGCTATTTTGTTGATTGGTACTAATGAAGCCTGACTGTGGGATGTTATTTTTTTTTCATATGGTTCAACAAATATTCCTTTGGTGTTTTTCTTAAATCAGTCAGTCCTGATGCAAAAATCAAACATGACAGCCTTCCTACTCTTTTATAGTAGACTGATTGCAAGGGAGCACAACCAGCATCTCACAGTGACTTCCCAGAGTCACACAATAGTTTACCAACCTTTTTCCAGTGGTTTTCCTGCTATTGGCACTGAGAGAAATGGTTCAAAAGGAGGGATGGCCGTTGGGAGACAGTGCATCTCTACTTAGATTACAAGTGTGGTGCAACATTGGGACAGATAACCTCAGAAAATGGTGGACCTTCCTGTGTTGAAGGTTTTAAGAAAGAAGTTGAATGGCCCTCTGTCAGGAATGCTTTAGCTGTGAATTTCCTGCATCACTAGAGTCTTAGATGAACTAAATGACTGAGAGATCCCTTCCAGTCCTAGAATTTTATACTTCAATGATCCCCTTTTTGGAGGGTGAGAAAGAAATTGCGCCCCTGGGATCTTCTACTGCTGCTTACGCTTAGTCGAAAGAGCTACCCAAGGAAAAAAAATGTCTTTCCAAAGCTGTCCAATAATTGGCATCACAGCTCTGACTTCTAAATATCTCTTTTATCCTATAAACACCAAGCACTTACTTAGGCATCCTTACTTACTTAGGCATTTCCAACGACAATAAAAGTTGAGAATTTGGCGCCTTATTTCATCTATGCCCTTCAAGTGAAGGTGAAGGGAATCTTTATTTCCCTTCTTGTCATGGAATCCTGCTATTGTCAACATAGATGAACAGTTGTGTTTTGTTGTTGTCTCTCCCACATTGAAAGCTGGTGTTTTGAAAAGATTCCTAAAAGCTGAGCAGTTTTTTCCCCCCAACTTTCCCCAGATTTTCCCTCAGTTTGTTTATAGGTGTAATGGCAATTATAGTTCTTTTTAAGTGTGGGCCTCAGACATTCCCAGGCTTTCCCTTTTAAGGTTTGTTTTCAGACTGCATGTCAATTTCAGCCAAGGCTGGCGAGCTTAAGAACTGTCTTGGGGAATATCTAGCCTTGATGGGAATGAACAGAGATCTTTTCAAGCAAGGTGACATAAGATCTTTGAAAAACAGAAGCAACATTTGTTTATGCAAAAACAAAGAAAAAGGTATGACTCATTTCAGACTGGCTCTACTATAAACAGCTTTTGACAAACTGCATCCCATTGTGCTGTACCACTGAATGCTCTAATAACTATTGATCGTTGTTTGCAGATGATGGAAAGCTTGAAGAATGGGCTTTTACATATGACAGTCATGTAATTAAATTGGCTAGAGGAAGGGGGATGCTGTACTATATTCTTATGAGAATTCTTACGGAATTTTGACAATTGCCATAATGGAATATTCTTTACCATATATTTTCAGCCTGGTTTATGTAGACTTTTTTTTATGTGTATACAATCAAATGCCCGAGGAGATACATTAATACTGTGAGACAACTGAATTTTCATCTACAGATTTCCTTTCATCTTATTTCTTCAGAACTTAGAAATTGTTGCAGTCACAGTTTTTGAAGCTAGAAAGAGTAGATGCATTAAGGGTGAAATCTTCAAAGTCATCCAAATACTTTGGACACCAAACAACCTCTAAGATGAACTGAGCCTCAGGGAAGAAAATCAACATTTTAAAAAACAGGCTTTAGGCAAATTGCAGTTTTCTTGAACTGAGCTTCTCCTCATGGTCCTGCAATAGGGATTTGTGGCATTGATTACTACCACCTACTCTATCTATGGCAGGTCCTTAAAGATATGGGAGTGCCTGATCACCTTATCTATCTCCTGAGAAACCTATATGTGGGACAGGAAGCAACAGTTAAAACTGGATATGGAAGCACTGATCGGTTCAAAATTGGGAAAGGAGTACGACAAGGCTGTATGTATATTATCTCCCTGCTTTCCTGTAGTGATGTACAGAAGTGAGAGCTGGACCATAAAGAAAGCTGCCTGCCAAAGAATTGATGCTTTTGAATTGTGGTGCTGGAGGAGGCTCTTGAGAGTCCTCTGGATTGCAAGGAGAACAAACCTATCCATTCTAAAGGAAATCAACTCTGAGTGCTCACTGGAAGGACAGATCCTGAAGCTGAGGCTCCAATACTTTGACCATCTCATGAGAAGAGAAGACTCCCTGGAAAAGACGCTGATGTTAGGAAAGTGTGAAGGCAGGAGGAGAAGGGGACGACAGAGGACAAGATGGTTGGACAGTGTCATCGAAGCTACCAACATGAATTTGACCCAACTCTGGGAGGCAGTGGAAGACAGGAGGCCCTGGTGTGCTGTGGTCGATGGGGTCACGAAGAGTTGGACACGAATAAACGACTAAACAACAACAACTCCTCTATCTCTGTGGTACTGAGGAATGTGTCCAGACTGGTCAGGTACCAAGGAGTATGATTCTTAGTAGATATTTTTGAGATGCCTCCTGCTCTAGAGTTAGTAATAGCTTAAATGCCTTAGGACTACAATTAAGTAAATGCAAGAAGACGTATTTGGTAGAAAGGAGAAGGTCTCTGGGTAGTTGCTTTTCAGGAAGAAACAAAGCCAAGTTGGTTGGTTTAAGAAATCTCAGGTGAGCTTTCATTCTCCCTCTGATCATGTTTTTTTTTCAAATCTAAGGCACAATGGACTTAAGTCTGCTCAATACCTGGTTCATTCACTTGACAAACTGGGTTCACATTCTGGTTTGCTGTCATAGCTCAAAACAATTCAGATATCGCAAAATACAATGTATCAACCCAAATACCACAAAAAAGCCCCACAGGGAAATATTGTAAACCATTATTTGGTATGAATTGATCCTGTAAATTAGACTGAGTTTAGACTTAGAGAACAGATTGCTCATGACATTTGATAAGTTACTGATCATTCAACACCTTTGAGAATAAGGCTCTGCTGACTATGTCTTCTCATATTATATTTCTGTGCAGGTGTCCCAGGCAAAAGGAATGAGCTTTACTATGAGTGCTGTAAAGAGCCATATCCAGATGTGACTTATACAGTCACAATGCGTCGCCGCACCCTCTACTATGGATTGAACCTACTGATCCCCTGTGTCCTGATATCGGGCTTGGCGTTGCTTGTTTTCTTGCTGCCTGCTGACTCTGGAGAGAAAATATCTTTGGGTAAGAGCTCAACGTTCATAATTTAACAGAGAATAAAATAGTAGAATTCTGGATTGTACCGCTGCAGGTGGCTGTGGAAAGGGTCATATATTTGCACATGGTAAAAACAAAACTGATCTACCCTGCATGTGTTAAATTAGTACACCAGAAAGAAAAGTTTGACATAAACACCTTCCAGACATGTGACTGTCCCACATTTGGAAAGATCACTTTCCTGCCTATAGTCTAAGATGGTATAGTCTAGAATTCTATCTGCTCCTTAGTTTTGCCTCTTTGGCAGTCTTGTAGAGGAATCACAACTTTCAGGATTGGAGTGCTGGAACTATATGATTATGAATGTCAATGGTTGCATCTGCCTCATGCATCAGCCTTACCTGTTGATTCTGGCTTTAGCTGTCATCCTGATGTTAGCTGCAGGCAGCGGCTGAATGAGCTTTCAGCAACCATATATTCTTGTAAGTTATTCCTCATATTAAGCAAAATATTTTCAGTGATTTGGTCTTGAATAGGCAATTAAAGCCATTTCATGATAGACAGCAAAATCTTTTGCAAAATTGACCGATTTTGTGTGTGTGTGTGTGTGTGTGTATGAACTTTCAAGGATAATGTGGCTGATGGAGGACTCAAAACAATGTTCTTACACCAGGGCAGCGTACTGGCTCCTATTTTGTTTTAACATGTGCACCAACTACCAGCCACTTTCTCAAGGCATCAACAGTTTTATTTGTGCTGACGATATGGCACCTGCTGCTCAGTCGGACAGCTTTCAGACAGCAGAACATCTTCTAAGAGATGCTTTAGAGGAACATGGCACATTTTATAATAGAAATCAATTTAAACTCAACCCTGCTAAGACTTGGATATGTGTTTTTTATCTGAGAAGCAAGCAGGCATCTTGGAAACTTTCTAAGGGCAATCGGAAAGATACCCAGCAAGATCCTAGCTTTGCCCCCAAATACCCAGGTGTTACTTTGAATCATATGCTGCTTCCAAGAAAAACTGCAAAAGCAAGCACTAATATTCTTCAAAAGTTAGTGGAAACTGGTTGGAGCACAGAAGAACAAACCCTATGTTTGTTGGTCCTATGTTACTCTGTAGGTGAATATACCAGCTTGTTTTCATATAGTTTAGCCTGTGCAAAACAGGTAGATGAAGCATCTAATGAAAACAGAGAATCATTACTGGATGCCAGAAGCCAATTCCTATTAATAAAATAAATTACCTAGGAGGCATTGCACCCAGTGACATATGGAGAGAGGTAGCAGCATGACTCAAAGCATCTACATCAAATGTGCATCCACTCTTTGGCTACTATCTCGCCCCTCCTAGATTAAAATAAGGGGGGGGGGATCCAGAACATTTGTGAATTTTGAAGGAGCAGCAGAGAATGCTAGACTATAATGTGGAAAGAAAGAACTACACACATCTTAAAATGGATAGAATCCCAGGAAAGTTTAGCACCCAGTCACATGGAGAACTGGGTGGCTTGGCAATAACTTAATAGACTACAGGCTGGAATTGGCAGAACCAAAGTGAACTCACAGTCCTTTGTGAGTGTGGAGAAGAACCAACATCACATCTGTGTCAATATACTTTGTGTCCCTCAGCATGTTAGCTGTCCCAAATACTCTTGATGTTGCCCCTTATTGGGCGAAACTTACCTGAGATGTTTATTAATTGTACTGTGGTGCTTCTGATATGTATATGCACACAGCCAAAGATTTTGGTCCTAGTCCCTGGTTCCCAAAACATGGGCTGCCCTTGCTTATCACTTTATGAAAGATCTAATCACAATATAATTAAAACTGCTAGAATTGTTGGTTTATATGGTTCAAACAGAGCGGCTTGCATTTTTGGAGTTTAAGACTATTATGGTAAATGTCTAAACTTCAGAATATACTAGTGGTTCCCAAATTTTTTGAATCACAGCTGCCTTGACTCCATCCTGGGGCATCCTCATCACTGTCACCTGTGCTTTTCTCCTCTTGCACAGGTGGACATCTGAGGGCAGGGGTGAGGCTTGCCCCGGGGTCTGCACCCGGACATGGGCAGGGCATTAGGCATGACCCCAGCCAACATGCAGGGAGACCCACAGGCCAAGGAGAGGGTGGCAGCATCAAAGGATGAGAGGATTCCGCAGTGCCCCTGGCTGGGCTTGGCGATGCCCCAGGGTGCTGCGACACGCACTTCGGGAACCACTGAAATACACCACTAGCCCCTTGCTCCTCAAGACATGTTCATATGTTACCTGAGAAGCATAGATGCCAAGCAGCACAGCTTCTTCCTTTGGTGGGAAATGGCAAACCACATTGGAAGGGTCCACTCTGTGGCCCATTCCCTATGGCAGGGCCACTATCTCCAAAAGGAGAGAATGTTAGTGTGGGAGGAATCCAGACTGCAGGGTCTTCCAACTTCTCAGATTCGCCATTTTTTTATTTTTTTTATTTTTGGTAATGTGTGGAACAATTGTGATTTTAAATTTATGCTAGACCACATTTCTCTTAATCCTTGATTTAGGGAGGTCAGCCAAGATGCCAGGCTAAGATGAATATGTAACATTTAATTGCATGCCTAATAAAATGCAATGCATATACATTATTCATCATCTTTAAAATGGATGACATTCAAGAATTCATTTCTGACTTCACCTTTTGTCTCCTTTACAATTTTGTTGCAGGTATTACAGTTCTCCTGTCCTTGACAGTTTTCATGCTGCTCGTAGCAGAGATAATGCCAGCCACTTCAGATTCTGTTCCCCTCATAGGTAGGTTGATGGGGCACCTGTTTCTCACAGTATAGTGAAAAATCATGTTTTTAAGTGCCATTGATGTCATAAAAAGAAAGCTAAGCATGCACTTTGTTATTGGAATAGAGGAGACCACCAAATTACTTAACTTTATCTGGGTCATGCTCATAAGGAAATATTGCGAAGAGGGAGGAATCATATTTTTAATATAGTTTTAAAGCTTTCCATATGTTTACCAGATTAGAATCCAGATATGAAGTCTCCCCCACCCCCACCCCCCAACACAGAGCAGACCTCTAAATGGCAGATTCCCTGAATTTTTATCAGGGAAAAGAATTGACAGGCAAGTAAGCTTTGCAAAGGAAATGGGAAGGAAGGTGTTCCTTTGAAGCCAATTGTGGATTATGAAACCAATGCCATGCATTCAGATGAGTGGATGGGCTAGAATAAGAGGATGGCACTGGATAAGAAATAAAATGTCCAAGATTGTGTTATGTGTCAGTAAAAACCAGGGTCTTGTGGAGTCAAAGCTTACTGAATTGAAGCACTGGGATATGTTGTTTCTGCTGCTGTTCTTCTTAGGATGATGATGATGTCATCTACCATCTCATTCAGGGTTCCTTATACTCTCTGAGCTTGGTTGAAATCTTCATGGCATTTGGCAGGAAAATAAAATTTCCTACCAATTAATATAGTGCTGAGAGTTTTGGTTGTTATTATTCCAGTATTGGGGTTGGGAGGTTATTTGGTCATACATTGATAATTAAGACTCATTAGCTTTACAAAAGATCTGTTTCCACTCATCACAGATGAAAACATGCTAGAGCCGGTTTGGCTTTTTCCAGATATCTGAGAATACACCCAGTGATCACTTCATTATATACATATAAATTTTTAAAAATAACTCATATCTGCAAAGTTTGTTGTTGTTTAATCATCAAGTCGTGTCTGACTCTTCGTGGCCCCATGGACCAGAGCACGCCAGGCCCTCCTGTCTTCAACTGCCTCCTGGAGTTGGGTCAAATTCATGCTGGTAGCTTTGGTGACACTGTCCAGCCATCTCGTCCTCTGTCGTCCCCTTCTCCTCTTGCCTTCACATTTTCCCAAAATTCCCATAACTATTTAAAAGTTTTATTAATCATCCCCCCCCTGAAAAAGAAGAGAATGGAATCCTGAGAATGCTCTTCTCAGCCATTCTGTAGTTTAATGGCCCATTACATTTCCCAAAATTTGAAACAATAACCCTTATTGCCTTAATGGTTTTCTAGTATGCGCCTAATTGTTAAATATAGCACTAATTATTTTTAATGTACACATTTTAAAAAACGTTTGAGTCTCAATTTAACTCCCACTATGATACTAATAATAACTTTTTTGCCAAAGCTCTAACCATCCCATAGGCATGAAACTAGTGTAATTCTCCTGACATCTCCAACAGTTAGTTAGTCAGACTGTTTTGTAAGCCTTTGTCGATTTCTACAACTTCATGAGACATGGGCTTGCTCGGATCGTTCTCATTACCAGGTGCTGATCTGCTTTATTCTAACTATTAGAATGAACTGCAGCAAACCTCACATTCACATGCTTTCTCTTCTCTATCTTCTAGCGCAGTCGGCGAAAAATCTGGTAATAATACTTCCATTTTAGATTAGCTGCAATTACAAATTAACAGCAGTTATTTATCATAGTGTAGTTGCAAATTCAGAAGTGCAGGTCCCTGAGCAAGACTTTGGGGTAGAAATTGGAAAGATGAAACTCCTAAAAAATTGCCATGGCTGATGAGGTCATCAGCCTTACACAGTATAATTTAAATCAGCAGGTTTTCAGTCGTTTCGCATATGGGGCTAGCTTACGTCACTTAAGCAGAGTTAAGACTGACCTCTAGAAGTGTGCAGGTTTGTGGTTTTACATTAGACGTTCCAGAGTTCCGCAGACAGCAAATCTGCACACCTCTATTGACCACAATGTAAGTTTCTACTGAGATGCTAATGTGCATTTATCCCAAAACAGAAACCAAAGCTCCTGATTTCCTTGTTGCTACATAGAGAGTGGCAAGAGGCTTATACCCATAATGCTGGGCTTTGCTTTAGCATTATTTCTTAATTTCCTAACCTGTGTAGAACATTTTCTGCTATACCTCTCTCACACTCATGAAAACAAGAACAGGGCATACAAGTACAATAGATGTACAGTGGGGTCTTGACTTGAGAACTTAATCCGTATTGGAAGGCGGTTTTCTTAATTTCCTAACCTGTGTAGAACATTTTCTGCTATACTGTACCTCTCTCACACTCAAGAAAACAAATAGACCGGGGCATACAAGTGCAATAGTAAATAGATGTATGTATATATTTGTAAAAATTATTTGGACTTTTAATTTTGAAACATCTCTTTTAAATAAATGTAGGAAATATTTTGGATTTTTTTTCATAGAACTGATAACAGAAATAGAATGAGTGGGGGAAGGTGACAAAACTGAGCTAGTTCTGTTATGGTTGCTCAGAAGAGAATAAGAAAACAAGAGACTGTAAGTCAAGCCGTCTGTAAGTCAAGCCGTCTGTAAGTCAAGGGTCCATTGTATGTATATAGAGGTATGTACATAGATGTATGTACATAGATGTATGTATGTATATAATTTTTAAAATTATTTAGACTTTAAATTTTGAAATGTCTCTTTTAAATAAATGTAGGAAGTCTTTGGATTTTTTTTTTCATAGAACTGATAACGGAAATAGAATGAGTGGGGGAAGGTGACAAAACTGAGCTAGTTCTGTTATGGTTGCTCAGAAGAGAATAAGAAAACAAGAGAGAAATATTTGGCAATTTCAGTGTAAGATACTGTCTGAAAAGCATGTTTTGTAGGGGAGAAAGGGCAGAAGGCCCAATGCACTACTAAGCGAGATTCTTTTTCAGAGCTGACTAGCTCTCTATAGACAAAGTATCTAAAGAGCCTAATTAGCACTTTAGATGTTGCAATGTTTTTTGCAATGCCTAAACAATTAGAGCATATTGAATGTATTTAAGATGCATTTTGCAAAGCAGCCATGTAGGTCAAATGTACTTTGCTCGGTAGGTTTTGTTCTCCCTGCTGAAATGTTATTGCAGGGTAAAAAAAGCTCTCTACTTCCTGCAGTATATACAGTGGCAATTAGACTCATAACCTCCTCTGATATACCAGGAAGGAGAACAGGCTTTCCATGATAGAGGACATGCCAGTAAATAGCACTGTTTCACACCTTTATGACAACGAATGTATCCCAGTGTTTGGTGATAACTAGGAAAACATCTAGCTCAGGTTTCAGCACTTCCTGTGGAATTCTGTGGGACAAATTCAGGAGACAAATTCCTATCCATACAGCAGACACTATGGGCATGTCTGGGTGCTATCTTAGGGTGTGATCACACAGGAAATAGATCACAATTTAGACCAATTATGGAGCAGTCTGGTGTGATCAGTTTCCCAGGGATCACACAATGCATGGGGAAATGCACTCCAGCTGGACCCTGATCTGTGCCCAAGCTGGACCTTTTTGGTCCAGAGAATTCCTTAGACTGGGAGCACCCCTTGAAAATGTCCTCGCTTGAGTCCTCACCAAAAGTGTCTTCAATGACAGCGGAAGAGAGAGAAGACTCTCCCCTAAAGGTCTCAGAGATGGGGCAAGGGGGGGGCGGTTATATGGGGAAATATGCTCCTTGAAATAACTGGACTGGATGGGCTGTTGATCTCACCCAGTGTGGTTCTTATTATGCTTATCATTAAAACTGCAAATACATTTTTATTCTTGATTCTATCATATTGACATAAACATTGATCTAGTGTGAACCTTTGTGCGCTTTTAATTTTTGGCTAGCTGGACTCATTTATTTGTTTATGGTGCCATTTATTTACGAGTGTTGGTGCACTGCCTGTATCTACAGATTCCAAGTGATGTAGACACATAATACCCGGGTAGGTGGGGCTCGTCAGCCATGGAAGGCAACCCATCTAGGAGAAGGAAAACTCTGATTTCAAACCTCCACTGCCTTGTGGCTATATCCACTCATGGAAAAGGCTTCAGGAGTTAACCTCGAGGCAAAATCCTGTTGGTGCACTGCCTGTATCTACAGATTCCAGGTGACGTAGACACATAATAATAATAATAAAAGATGTAGGTCAAAATCCAATTCAAAATGAAACAAACCAGGTTTCTGGTTGTGTTATCTGGTCATGTGAGTGGCTGCATGATCAGTTGTGCAAGCCAAGGAAACCCAGATGTGCTCTGGATAGCCTAGGGAAGAGGGTCTTTCTCTTCTGTGGCTCTCCTTATGCAGTCAAGTAAGGAATTCTAGCCTTACATGACTGCATTCTAACCTGTATATTTTTTAAAAAAATTAAATCAGGAATAAAAAATCATGGTATATTATGCTATACTAGGAAGGCTTATGTAGACAGTTCTTCAAGATGTGCCTAAAAATAAGTGTTGGCAGTGGATGTCTAATTTTAGAGAGACACATAATAATAATAAAAAGATGTAGGCCAAAATCCAATTCAAAACGAAACAAACCAGGTTTCTGGTTGTGTTATCTGGTCATGTGAGTGGCTGCATGATCAGTTGTGCAAGCTAAGGAAGCCCAGATGTGCTCTGGATAGCCTAGGGAAGAGGGTCTTTCTCTTCTGTGGCTCTCCTTATGCAGTCATGTAAGGCATTCTAGCCTTACATGACTGCATTCTAACCTGTATATATATATATTTTTAAAAATTAAATCAGGAATAAAAAATCATGGTATATTATGCTATACTAGGAAGGCTTATGTAGACAGTTCTTCAAGATGTGCCTAAAAATAAGTGTTGGCAGTGGATGTCTAATTTTAGAGGAACGATGGTGCCTCATAATATGTCTCCTTTGAGAGACTGTGCCCTTTTGGAGCATGCAGAAGCCATGAATCCACTGGCCCAGTTAAGGAGTGAGTGCTGAATGTTGCAGTCCAGCACAGCCTCAGACCCACTGAGGTATCCGTTGAATGCGCTCCCCTGCCAG